CTAGGGTTATAAGCTTTTATAATAGCGAGCTAAATAAATAAGTGAATACTCTATATAATCCACGCCTTAAGCCGCTTTCGGAAGACTGGGCTATTAAGGATCTAAGCGGAGAAGGAGACGAGGCTAACGATTGGTTTCCCCTATTTTAGTTCCTTAACCTAGTTACCGGTAAAGTTATTAAGTCAGATCCGTATATAACTTCCGAGGTATTAAAGGTAAGAGGAGTGGCCGTAAGGATATTTAATTTAATATAGAAGGAGAGCTTATAGTATATTTCTATAGAAAGACTAACGTAGTGGTTGACCTTATAAACTTATAAGCCTACCTAATAGAGAATACGGCTATAGGCTAAGGAATATAGGTTATGATTAATAACCTACTTAACCTTAGGTGATATACTTAAAATTTATTTAATATATTAATTAGTAAATGTTAAAGTATGGCTAGTTACCAGGGTTGTAGGGTCCTGAAGTGCAGGGCACTGCAGTAGCTGTGTTGGAGTTGTGAGTGTTGTGGCCGTTGTGTGGGGCGCTATACCTAGATTGTTTACTTTGCCCCACAGCACCTTCTCGAAACCCCTATACGACTTGACACGTAAGACAAGCCCACTAGAAGACTGTAGAATACAGAGCTGTCTACGGAGCCTGTGGGTCTCTAGAACCTTCTAGAGAGCCCACCTTAGGTCTATATAGACCTGTCTTTTTTCCTTAGATAGATTTCCTTCCAAGCAAGCATTGCACTCACCACTCTTTGTACTATACTTCTTCTATAATACAACTCCTCTCCGTCTTCTTCAGCACCCACAGTTGGTCCCGAAGACCCTGACTGCAGGGCAGAGTCCCCTACAGCCTACGAGGTAGACTGCTGAGCAGAGTCCTCACAGTCTGAGTGGCAGGCCTGTAGCAGAGTTCTACAGACCTGTAGTCAGTCAGCCTGCTTCCCTCAGTGCCTTGCAGAAGCACTGTTGTATCGGACCGTAGGGCACAGTTCCCTACAGTCTACCCTGCACTTGATCGACCTACCCTGCACTTGGTTCCTGACTTCGCTACCGCTACGCCACCGCTTCCGCTGCGCCTGTCACAACACTGTGCACCCTGTGTAGGTGCTGAGTTCAGGCCTATACAGGAACGCAGTTTAACAGACTTTATATGCTCGAGGCGTCGTTCATTCTCCTAGCTTATTAGTTATAATATTTTGCAATTATTTTTATATTAAGTATTAAATCTAACCGCTCTCCGGGTCTACTCGTTCCATCTTTATGGAGGTTGAGTTTTCCTTTTCTCTCCTTTCCTATCGTAATTAATGTTTATCAAGCTAATACGGTCTTCCTCAATGCCCCAGTTTGGTGCTGTCCGGCCAACAATTAGTTTCGTCCGAACTTCCGAAGCTCTTTCGTATCCCCTTAATCCTCGTAGTTACTTGAGCTAAAGAGCAAGTCCAACTTCAACCACACCAGTACTAGCCAGAGTCAAAGGGCGTGCTACCTCTTCAAAGGGGTACGTCCCAGCACAACGTCAGTCCACTTGTAAGGTTTGAGCCGACCTTTGCGAATCGTTAATACAGATTCCAACAACCACCATTCGGCCTGGGATCGGTTTTCGTTCGATATAGGCATGTTGGTTTATCCTTCTTGTGAAGCAGGCTAGGTGGGCTACATATCTCTGGTGAGCTAGCTGGCGTAAAATGTGAATCAACACCGACAGCGGGCTAGATAGGGCATTTCGCACGTTTTTCGGCTCAGGCACTTCTATTAGTTTTGATGATTGGGGTGTGCGCAACTCTGGCAGTAGGTTCGAGGGCCGCAATAAGGTCTGCCGTCGACAAGCATTACCACATCCGTCTTATTTTTGAGGCTGTTGATATTCCACTGAGGGGATGCCTGGCAAGCTGACCAAAAACTGCCCGTCAGGATGCGACAGTGCCCAGTGGCGTTCAACAGCCTTGGCTTTCGGCAATGATTGGTAAAGGGGCGCTGGAAATGCTCAGCCACAGCGCAATAAATTGATAGCGGCATGCGGTGTCACTGTGACGAGTCCAAGGCTGGGCCTGGAAGTGGTTTGGTATTTATCGGGACTGTCCCAGCAGTACAGGCCGAGATCAAGTGTTCTCTTACCAATTTTTAAACGACCAGTTTCGCCACAGTGATCACCTGGAGCTGAGCTGAGCCCGACTAGGACCTACACCGTCGGGAATACCGAGCAGCCAGGATGCGCCGGCCAATGGCATTTGCCAAGGACAACATCTCCAGATTCGGAGACTGCTGCTTGTCCTGGGCATAACTCGGAATGCCGCGACGATAAAACACCACGCACCTGCCTGCCTGCGTACCAGAGCCCATCGTCTACACCACCCCAGAGCCTAAACACACCAGTAGAGCTCATCGTCAACCTAGATCACAGAAGCTCCCGCTCCCACAACCACTGCCCACACCCATCTCGGACAACAATGCATCTTCGCACGATGCTCGCCGTGATGCCAGCGACCACGCTGAGCATGGCGCACGGCGCCGCGGTGTCGCCGCGCATTCTGCGGCTGGGCGCCTCCGGCGTGTCGGGCGTGCGGGGGTGCCCTTTGCAGAGCCCGACCGTGTACGGCCTGGTGCAGACGCAGGCGGGCATCGGGTGTCAGACGTTCCTGAACGGCGCGGCCATGGCGACGGTCGATGTGTGTTTTGGTGTTATAGTTGATACTTGCGAGAGTTTGTCAAGGACTGGCGTGCATATCGCACGGGGCAGTGCCGGTTCAACTTAATATACTTACCGTATTCAGCTTAGGATTCGTGACGGAAACCTGGAAAGCATGATAATTATGTGCTGGAGAGATACCAAATGGCTGGATGCACAGCAACTAATTAATTAATAAACAAACAACTTGACAAATGATCGTGATACTAAAAAAGCGACGTCTAAAGCAGTGTAACATGTCAAAAGAGGCCGTACAACCTCATGCACATGACCACGGTCCACGGATCCAAGACACCAAACCAAACCAAACCTAGCTAAATAATGCCGTGTAACCAAGACTCAAACCCGTGGCGCCATTGAATTTGATGCGCCGGGCAACGTCGCTCTCTCACGCCATCAGCGCAATGTGCTTGAGCTCGCTGCGCCACATTAGTCTCTCAGCCAGAACAACGAATGGCAGAAGGGAGGTGTTAGGAGGGACATACCTCTGGACCTGCTCGCCGACCTTCATGGGCGGGTACTCAACATCATCCCCATCATCTCTCCCCAGATTGAACTGCTCAGCGCGGAGCTCTTTAGCCTTGGCAGCCAGAGCGGGGATGGGCGCCAAATCAAGATCCGACGAGAGGTGCCAGAAGAAAGTAGACGAGATGCGGACGAGGGGGCGGTCGGGCTTGGTCTCGCGGCGCGCGGCAATGACGGCGAGCGTCTGGTCGTTGACGACGACCTCGTGGAAGCCGGCCTTGACCAGCCCGCCCGTCATGTGCTCGAGCTGCTTGCCGGCCTGCACCAGCAGGTTGTTGCCGGGCGGGATCTTAACGGCGATGCGCCGCCCCGTGTTGCGCGCCCAGATGTGCAAGCCCGGGTACCGCGACCGCCCGTGGATGGTCAGGAAGTTGAGGTCCGTGTGGAAGCCTGCGAGGATGGTGTCTTTGGCTCCGTACTTTTGCAGGTCCGACGCTGTTGGCGCCAGCAGGTGCGGTCTGAACAAGGCATCATGGGCGGCGGTTAGCAAAGTTCCGAGGTCGCCTGTGTTTAGGGGCGCAGATTCAACCCTACCCGTATCGCCCGGCGTCCTTGAACGTCTCGGCTGGCAGGCCCAGGCCCACGGCAGCCATCTCGGTGAGCCCTTCAACACTGTTGATTGTTTGTAAGCCGTGCGCACCCTACCAAAGCCTGCACGTCTGCACGGCCACTCACGCGTTCTTCATCGAGGCGCCCCACTGGTCCATGGTCGACCCCCAGCGGGCGGCGATGTGCGGGGCGTCGGGGATGATGTTGGGGGCGTTGAGGCCGGGGAACTTTGTGTCGTAGGGGGGGCGCTCGACCATCTTCCAGAAGAAGCGGCACTTGGGGTCGGGGCTGTGGGCGGTGATGTCGAGGGGCCGCTCCGAGGGCTCGAGGCGCTCAATGACGCGCAAGCACGGCTCGTCGGCGGCGCACTTGGGCTTCTCCGTGTTCTCCAGCGTGACGCCAATCTGGTAGCTGAGCTCGGGCCGCTCGTCACGCTTGAGGTCCGCCTCGGGCTGCGCGAAGTAGTCCTCGAGCAGGTCGAGAAAGGCGTCGTTGTCCTGCTCCGACACGCGCGAGTCGTGCAGCACCAGCGCCCCGAATGTGATGAGCGCCTCTGCCGCCTTGGCACACTCTGCCTGCACCGCTGCAGAGTCGCGCGGCTGGTTGCGGAAGACGTCGAGGTCGACGACTGGTAAATCCATGCTGTGTGGTTGAGTGGTGAAGCTGTGAGAGGGGACTAGGTATTGAGGTGGGGGAAATACGGAGTAAGTAGCGCGGGACTGCTGTGAAGTTCAGTCGAAATGATGGCGAACAAACAAGACTGGCGATCGCTTGCTATGTAAATAATAATAGGGCCGGGAAAGTCTTGGTAATTCTTTACCTAGGTAGTTGGTGGCCAAACCCGCAAATCTCTCATGATAACGCGCCCGATGAGGAAGGTCTCCCCACTCACTGGGGCGGTGAATTTCAAGGTGACGGTTGGCCTGCCTAATAAATCGCTGGTCCCGCGGCGTGCCGAGCCCGCGCTCTCACATGGGCGGGTCGCGTCGCTGGGCCAAGCTCCGCAAACTCCCGAGCGTGATTGGAGCCGCTGGCTGCCTGTTTGCCTTCCCCACCAGCTTGACGGCCGGTGGCGAGGCCCCACGGTTCGCTGTCGGCGAGTCCCGACGGGCCCGTTGACTGTTGGCAGGGCTCAAAAACCAGGTGATAAGATAAAACAAGAGACCAACGAAGTCCCCACGGGAAGTGGAAAGCGGGCTAAAAGATAAGATGAAAAAAGAGAAACGGCAAAAAGGAATAGGTCTCTCCCGCCGGGAATTGAACCCGGGTCCCGAGCGGAGTCGTATGACAAGCTCATATACTGACCACTATACTACGGAAGATTTGTTGGTGTGGACACCAACCGTAGCCACTGGACTGTTGGGTAGCGGGCCCGCTAATAGGCCCTATCACAGACCGCGGCTCAAGACAGGCTCTTTACCACGGAAGCGTGTTAATAGGTTCTTGTACTTGGTTGGCAGGGAAATCTAGGAGGGCCAAGAGAATTTACTAAGATTCGACAGGAAATATATGGCCCACATATAAAACTCGAGATGGGATGAAAGGCAGCGTAATAGAGCAGAGGCGATGAAGTCTCATATTGAAGTGGATAGAATGCGAACCAATTAATTAAAACTAAGGTATTGTACATTAAACATGCTCGGCGCGTACCTCGTCGACGCCGTGACCATCCGGGTCGTCGTCCTTGCGGAATTCGACGGCAACCATGATCTCGGTGCTCTGGATGATGCGGCCGCCGGCCTCGCGGAGCGGCGCCCTGTCGCTGGAGTTGGTGGTCGTGGTGGTGAGCGGGGACGGGCCGCCGCCCGAGATGACGACCGTGTTCTGCTTGGGCGAAATCTTTGAGATCTGCGTGTCGTTCTTGCTGTCCGACACGTACAGCCGCCGGCTCAGCGTCTGCAGGTCGCGGAACAGCGTGCGCAGCACCGGAATCGACGCCGCCATAATAGTCACGGCCGACTCGGCCGCTCCCCACAGGATAAGAGGCGCCGACACGTCTGGATTTGGTCAGCAGTGATGTCTTAAAGGGGGAGTACGGCGATGCAGTGCAGGGCGGTTTGGCTTACAGGTAAAGTCGGGAGATGCAAGCGTTGGTATGACGGTGGTCTTGACCACGGCCGTCGCGCCGGCGCTGTCGGTCACGGTCAGTACTGAGCATGCTCAAGTTTTGCACTGGCAAGAGTTGAAAGACCCACAAGATTCCCATGCTCATGGCCAATGCAACGCCGACTTTCTCTCGCCGCTTCATCTGCAGGTTCCAGATGACCGTCCAGGGGAGCAGCGCGAGCACAAAGTCCATGGCGGCCGAGTAACCTGCAGAACACAGAACATCAGCGCCGGGCCCCAACAAACCACAGAGACACCACCCGATTTTCACTTACCCGCGGCAAACATGCCAAAGATCGGATACGCTTGCGGATCCCAACAAGTCCCCGGGACATAGGGGTTCCACGTCTTTTGCACGGGCGAGCAGCGGACCCACAGGAATATGGCGTTGAGGCCCATCAGAATGTTCACCGTCGCGATAATGAACCAGACGAAGGCCTTCGTCCGCCCCTGCACCAGCCGCAGCAGCGTGACTGCAAACGACGTCTTGCTCCACATGGCGGCGAGGATCGAGAAGGTGCCCGTGAAGTTGCCCGTGATGCCGAGGAAGGCAAAGTTCTCGAACGGGACCGCGTACACGTGCTTGCCGAGGCCTTTGGGCACGCTCACGGTGACAAGGGTGATCGACACCAGCAGCATGGCCTGAAATCGTTGTCAGTGGAAGACCAACTAGATGAACGACGGCTTTGAGGGCAGCAGAGACTCACCCAAGACAGGACAAGCACGTAGTCATCCCACCAAAGGCGCCGCTTGGTGCGTAGCTTGCAGAACAGGCGCACGGCGAGGAAGACGGCCGACAGGCCTGTGAGGGCCCATGTCGTGGCCAGGATCTTGGGGCCTTGGTCGTCGTCGTCCATGGTCGATCGGATGCGGGCAGCGACAGTCTAGAACTAATTCTGGAATGGCAGGACACGCAACTTATTAATTACAAGGTGCCGTTCGATTGGGAAAAGGAAACGAATGCAGGGACCCGACCAGTCGAGCCAGTCAACAACCAGGACCGCAGCAGCGATCCCATGCGAGTCTTATAGACACGGCGCCGGGGCCGCGGTTCGCAACACCACGTGTTGGAGGGATTTTGGGACCCTCGTCGACGAGGGGGAAATCCTTGTGCGAGAGCACCAGCTGCAGGCGCACAGGCTCCCCTCGCATGCACGACACCAACACTGGCCAGCGACAGCCCAAGCAGGACTCGGCCAGCACGAGGACATGGGGACGACGGCTCCTAATCCAGCCAGGTGCGGTTGGTGTGCGGGAATCCAGCACAAGAGTGCGGGGGTGGTGACAGGACAGGCCGTCCGTTTGTTGGTGGTCAGGGTCCGAGTCCTGTCACCCCTTCCTCCCCCGCAGAATGCAACCGCTGCCCGCGTGCTGTGTAGGACCGGGAGCCGTGGGAGTGGGAGGAGAGGGGTCCCAGCACTCCGTGCCCAAATGCTGGCGGCGAATAGTCTGGCAACCCACGGACCGCCGTGCATCAATCAAAATGGCAGCCCACCGCCACCAACGAAAAAATAATCCCGCCCACCTACTTACTTTCAGGATCACTTCTTTGCGGTTGTTTCCCCTGGATGTGGCCAGATCTGTCGAGCCGTGCAGGAGTCCGTGTCGGCCCCGTGCTCTGCGCCCTGCCTCCGCGGTGGCATCCGGACGGTATTGCGCGCCCCTTTCAGGAATCAGAGGCAATAGTTAGACGGGCTCTCGTCATGTACGCTTCGGCGCACAGCAGATGCCATGCATGTAAGCCATCTTGAACAGTACAGTCACCGCGCCGAAGACCCGGATCGGCAGGCACAATGCCCCTTTTGCTCTTCTGTCTGGCTTGCTGGCGGGTCAGGCCTGGGATTGTCCGGGGATGAGCATCTCAGCAGTTGTAAAGGCGAGAGAGTAATTACTCGTCGGGTCCATATTAAAAACTGCAAGGACAGCAACTGAGGATTCGAGGAAGACTATTTCTGACAGATAAGGACATTGCAACAAAGGAAAGGAGAGAAGAGGAATGCTCAAGTTATCCACCTGCATCAAGATGCACGAGTAGATCGGGAGAGCGTTTGTACTTGCACTTGACAGGAGAAAAGGTGCAAAATGTCACAGCTGATAAGCTGGGGTAATCAACGATACCTCGAGCATGCAAAGTCAAACGTAATTTCATTGACAGCCCAAGTCCAGCTTGGGGCCCGGTCTTGAACATCAACAGCAGACAAACAAACACTCTAGAACTAGGCCAACACGCAACGCCCGACTATCTCGTCAACCGCTTGTTGGCAAACCCAACACGCATCTTGCTCCAGCGCCTCGGCGCACGGGTACGCGATGGCCGCCCACGCCGCGCCGTACCCGCTGCCCGGCACCTGTGCGTAGTAGACCTGCACTACGTTGGCCGGCGCCAGCAGCAGCGACCCGATCTGCACCGGCGACAGGTACTCAAACTCCGTTCCCTGCGGCGGCGGGATCGCCGGCACCGTGCCCGTCACGTCGCCTCCTGTTGGTCTCACTGTTAATTAGCTAACAACTCGCTGACCACTCACTCACTCGGTACCTGACTGGAAAGAGGGAGGGAAAAATGGGGACGCACGTTTCTCGCGACCACCATCACCATCGCCATCACCAAAACCATGGTCATCAAACCCCGACCGCCGCACAGCAGCTCTTACGCCCACAGACATCTCAGCGCCGAACTTGGCGTGTGCGCGCACCATGTCGCGCACGCCCCTGTGGCCGGCGTGGGTCGCGGTTGTTCCGTTGGCCTTGCCGCCGCCGGCCTGCGCCACATATTTCTGATTGCGCACCTGCGTGACGCTGAACGTGCCCGTGGCGCGCTTGCGCGCTGATGATGTCGGCACGGGCGACGGGCCGGATTGATGGCGTGTCGGTGCCGGGCGCGGTGCTTTGGTATGTCTTTCTTCCTGTTCAGCGTCGTGGTGGCGGGGGTGGGGGTTTTCTTTGTTGACCGTTTCAGGATGTTTATACGGGTAGGAGTGTGCTTTGTGGTCCTTTTCGGCGTGTTTATAGGGGTAGGAGTGTGCTTTGTTCTTGTTTTCTGCTTGGGATTTCTCGCTGGTGTGGCTGGCGCGGACTATTATGTCAGTTCCTGGGTGGCGGAGGGACGGGCCTGCGTCTCTTGGAGCCACGATCGTCAACACCTGGCCGTCTGGCTGCTGAAGGCTGGCGGGTTGTGGTTTGTTTTCGGGAAGTTGGCGACAGGTCTTCCTTGCGGCTCCCTCGGCGAGTCGCTGTGCAATCCGGGCATCCGCGGAGGATAAGTCATTTCCATCTGGGCCGAGACCGAAACCAAGGTATGGCACGTGTGTCGTTGAACCCGAATGTATAGTGGTCCGAGCCGAAGTGGGTCGGGGGTGCGCCCGTATCCGGGTTGTTATCACGACAGCCGCGACTGCCCTGGCCCGCTTGTCTTGGTTCTCGCTGTCTGGCGATTCAGCCTCTGAGACGTCCCTTGTCGGGACAGGACGTGGCGGGCGGACCGGTAGAAATATGGAGTTGGCATGCTTTTGATGATGGGGGTGGTGCCTCCAAGGGCCAGCCCCGGAATGCAATCCTCTGGGCCGGCCAAAGGCAAGGGGGAGAAAGGCGAGAAAGAGACAGGCAGCCAAGAAAGCAAAATGTCGCTTCAAAGGCATCGTGATGGTAGGAAGTCGACGCTGCGTAAGAAGTAGGAAAACCGTCAAAGACCGGGTGTCAGAGAGGTCCAGGCATTGTGTTTGACACGTCGGTATTTAAATAGATGCTTGTTGGGCTGATGGCGGGCGGTGAGGGCGGTTGGGGAATATACCGGTCGAGACACAAGGGGCTGGGTCTTACCTAGCGGGTCGGAACCTGGGACTGAAGAATGTCGCGTGTCTCGTTCTTTCCAGGCTCTTGTGGCGAGTTATAAGAATGTTTTTGGTGGCCTGGGCACTTGACGGGCCAGAAACATTTGTTGCCGTCTGCAGCTAATCAACAAAATCTGTGCCATTGGCAATTACCTTAGATTATCGTTCTTCATCCATCAAGCCCAGTTAGAACTATCGTCTCCTGACCCAGGAACATTTGTATTCAGGATAGCGAGGGGTAGGCGGAACGAGTCGTCTCTGTAGTGCCTCCCTCGCTGTCTCACACTTTTTGCATCGGCAAGATTTTTCCGCATTCCACAAAGCATACATGGCGTCATCTGGCCCGTCCCCTCAGACTAGATTACGGGCTCTTGTTCCAGCCACCCTCA